TTTTTTTTTTTTTTTTTTTTTTTTTTTTAACTGTCCCAAATTTTGGATTGGACTTCTCAAAGAATACAGAATTAGGTATTCCAGCTGTATTGTATATGGGATATCCTAATTTTGGGATATTAGTACAAATTCAAAAGTTCTCTGATATTTTGGAAAGGTGTTGCAGAGATCCTTCTTCACAGGATAGAATGTCACGTGAATGTACTAGGGCTGCATGAAATTATATTTAAAGCTATCCTCTAGAAAGTCACATTCCTACCTCTCTTTGGGGGTGTTAAAATTAAAAGAGGGGGAAAAAGCAGCTGGTCAATTTTTATCAGGACAAGTATTGCAACAGTTTGTCAAATTTCTAGCAGCATGACTCATTACTACTAACTAAAAGGAGTAAAGACATCTTTTGTAATGGGAAGATTGTGTCAAACACTAATTAAGTGCTTGAAGGAAGGCTTGTTTTAAATGCAAAGCTTTTGCATCATAAAACCACACTGGCAAAGGGTTTTTCTTTCTTTCATTTTAGACACAATAGTTACTACTGGGTACATAAAGGGGCAAATCAAAAATCCTTTGGGAAGAAATTAATACAAAAATAAGTTAGACATAATTAAAATTTGAGTCTAACTTCTAGGTGAATTTTGACAACACGATTCTTTTATAAATCCCTGTTGACACCCAGAATGGCTACAAACCACAGACAGGATCTTATAGCATATACTCATGGAAATGGTTCTAGTGCCCTCAATGGTATTTTAGAACATATAAGTAGTAGTGATATCTTTTTCATTTTAACTTGCTCTGTTTTAACTACTTCACCTTTTTTCAGATGTAGACATTTCACTTCTTATTTCTTTCAACAAAATGAAAAAATTGACTACTGATGGAAAGTTGATAGCCAGAGCAGTTAAAAGTTCATCAGTTGTAGAAGTGAGTCTTTCATTTTTTATCTTTTTCATCAACTTTTCCATGGGAGGAGTGGAAGATAATACCGTAAAATATATTTTCATACTTTTACTTTTTTGCTTGTAGTTGGATTTGGAAGGAACAAGAATTAGAAGACGCCAGCCATTGGGTGAGCAACCAAAAGACGTGGATAGTCGCACTGTATATGTGGTAAGGCTGCATCTGTTGCAACTGCCCTGTGTCTAAGGTTATCTTAGTTTCATAGTTGTTAGGGGCTGAAAGGGACCTTACAGATCCTCGGGTCCAGCCCCCCTGCACTTAGGCAGGAAAAGACTACTGGGATCAAATGACCCCAGCAAGGTGGGCATTGAGACACTTTTTTGAAGATCACCAGGGTGAATGACTGTGCCACCTCTGGGGCAAGCCCTGGGCACTCAACTTGTAAAGTTTTTCCTTTTGTCTAGCCTAAAGCGATCTTCGATCAGTTTGTGCCCATTATTTCTTGTCCTATATGATTAACTTCTGTGGTGACTAATTTTGAATTTACATCTTTCTAGAATTCTAAGAGACATTTTAGTGGAGCTAAAATAAAAGTTCTCATTTTGAGATCACAGCAGTTTTGGTCAAAGAAAATAGAAAAATTTATAAACTGCATATTCTGGTATAATTCTGTTTAACAGCAGAAGGAGAACAGTGACATAAGATACAAAAGCACATCAGATGTCACTTGGTAATTGAACTTCTATAAACTAATGTTAGCAAAAGAAAGAAATTTGTTTTAGCATACAAAAGGGGTGTCTGTATTGGAGAACATGATACATATTGGCTAAATTTCAGCTTCTCTAGTTAATATCATGAGTGGAGTTACATCAGTGCAGATAAATGCTTACTAAGTTTCTGATTTTTGACAAAGCTATAGAATGATAACAGCTTGGTCAGACAATGAGGAACTAGATGAATTTGACAGATAATCTAAAAGTATTTACAGTTTAATTATATAGCAGATGTTAAAATAGTATTTCCCTGCCCCTGGTGCTGTAGCAGTGCATGTCACTGCTGCTATAGAGTGGATGCTAGTATAATCAGTAGTGAATAATAGTAGAATAATCACTAGTGTTTTTGTGCATTGCCTGCATTAAAAAAAAAAATGTTCCACACTAATGCTTCTACTGTGGAGCTGTAATCTTGAGAGACTTTCCAAAACAAAAAAAAAATGTTGTGAAACTGGAACCAGCTCTAGTGATCTCTTCATCTTTACAAAGGTTTTATGGTTAATACCAAAATATAGAACATATTTGGAGCTATTGGAAGCTGATTTTTTCCCCCTCAAATCAACAGATTTTTGTGAGACAAATATTACCTTATGGGAGAAACCTCATAGTCACGACAGAGGCATTGACATGTTTAAAGCACTGTAGCCTTTACAGATCAGTAAATAGCTTGGGTTGCTGTCATCTTTAGGCTTTGTTGAACAGCTCATACTGCTTTCTGGGCTTTCGTTAAGAATCATGTGCCACAACTCCCTAATGCAGTTCTAAGATTTGCTTCATCCAGAACTCTTCAGATATTATTAAACTTGCCATCTTATCTTTGAGGGGAGGTATTTCCATTTCAGCGAATTAGTTAGCCTTTTGATTTACAGTAGTCGTAGTTTAAAAAAAAAAAAAAAGGAAGAGAGAAGTGGTGTATATTCTATCAGTCACCACATTCCCAGGGATCTTATTTGGAGAAAAATTAGCGCACACTTTCTCTTCTAACCTATGTACATATATAAGAGAGGATAGAGATAGGAGAGGCCCAGTGGAATCTAGTACTAATCCAATACTAATATTAGATTTCACTATCATTGGGGAAAAAGGAAGCTGGTAGGAACTGAAACAGGCTGTCTACAAACTTGCAGAATTTGAAGATTAACATTCCCAATCCAAATCCATCACCCAGGTGACTGGTTAGCATCTAACAGTAGATCACCTCTGCAGCTGATCAGTTACCATACCAGTGCTTATCACAAAGTTTTACAAATTAATACAGCTCAGATTTAATTTCCCAGGGTTTTTTTTGTTAGTGCTCATTCACTTTTTGTCTGCTGAATGGGTTATCAGAAGTCTTAGACTTCTATGCTGTTGACTGATTGCCTTAAGACAGTGAAACTCTGGATTAGCTCAAGGGTCTTCAGGCTTGGAATTGCAAAGATTTAGGTCTTGGTAGCTACCACTGAAAGCAGGTAATTAAAATGTATATTGAATGTACACTGTGTCTATGCTATACTGATGGTAACGTTTAATTTCTTCATAGATATTAAAAACTACTACTACCCAATTAGAGGTTAATTTATGACTGCAAAACAGGTTTTTTTTTGCTTTTGTTTTTTAGGAATTGCTTCCCAAAAATGTCAACCACAGTTGGATAGAGCGGGTGTTTGGAAAATGTGGCAATGTAGTGTATGTCAGCATTCCACGTTATAAGTCCACTGGAGACCCAAAGGGATTTGCATTTGTTGAATTCGAAACAAAAGAGCAAGCGGACAAGGCTATTGAGGTAGAGGGTGGTGTTTGTATTGGCATATTGGCCATTCAGTTTCATGGAGAGCACTCTTCATTGGTACAAATGGCAATAACATTCGGGGGTGGAGGGGCAACCTGCCAGAAGTAACACACTCGGCCTGGAGGTGGCACGCAACAGATTGGGGAGCAAAAGAGAGACAAAAAAAGCAGCAGATAGTGCAAGAAGCAGAAAGGAAAGCAGCAAATTGGACGGGGAGGAAGCAAGAAGCCGTGACTTATGTTCACAAGATACAAAATGTATTCATTCAGTTGAATTAAGTACAGACAAAACTGGATATTCCTTCCACTCAGTTTTTGTTGGACACTTCTTTTACTTCTTTTGAATGCAGGCCTATTTTGAAAGCAGTAAAACAGAACTGAAGTGCCGCCTCAGATCTCATTGGAAGAAGATAGTGCAGTTTTAGCATCAGCTCTTAGCATTGTGATGTGGTCTGGAGATGTTGTACAAATTATTCAGTATGTGCATATTGTTTTATAGCACCACGAAAGGGTAGGGTAGTAACATTGTACTGCCCTAAAGAACAGAATCATCTGAAAATAAATAAAGCTTTTTCTGGGCCTAGACCAGGGGTGCTCAACAAGATCCAGCCCCTAGAGCTGTGTTATCTGACCCTTAGGACTCCCCCTGGGTCTGTGGCCATGCTCATAGGGCCCAATCCCAGTGTGTGAGGCTGGGTGGAGTCAGTATGGGGCCCGGGGAGCTCAATCCTCACATGTGGGATAAGGCCAGGGCATCATGGGGCCCCTGGAACCCGATCCCAGTGGGCAGAAGTGACATAGAGTGCCAGGGTCTGATTCAGCTGTGGCCTGGCCATGTCCCCCATCTGTCTGGTGGAGCTGAGTGCCCCCTGCCTAGACTAATGACTAAAAAGAAAAGATGATCCTTTGATGGATTTTTCCAGACCATCTCTCTCTTAATAGGTATAGTGGCAATATAATTGGAGGGGTGGATTATTCCATTGGAAATAAACAGTTTTTTAAACATTATTTTACAATTTTTTCAATGTTTTCAGTTTTTGAATAATCCACCAGAGAAGGCACCAAGAAAACCTGGGATATTCCCCAAAACAGTAAAAAATAAATCTGTTCCTGCACTGAATACAAGTGATTGTAGTGTTGTAGGTAGGTATTATTTAACTAATGAAAAAACTTTTGTATAACATTCA